GCTGCGGGAGGGATACTGGGCCGCCTCACCAGGGGCCAGGGGTCCTTGCTGAGCTGCGTGGCCGTGACCCCAACCCTGTGCCCCAGGTGTTCACACTGCCCAAGGTGAGTGCCAAGCTGAAGCTGAAGCTGACTGCCCTGGAGGGCTCGCGCGTGCGGCGGGTCAGTGTGGCCCACTTCGGCAGCTGTCGGGCCGAGGACTACGGGGAGCACCACCTGGCGGTCCTCACCAACCTGGGCGACGTCCAGGTGGTCTCGCTGCCCCTGCTCAAGCCCCAGGTGCGGTACAGCTGCATCCGCAGGGAGGACGTCAGCGGCATCGCCTCCTGCGTCTTCACCAGATACGGCCAAGGTGCGCCTCGCGGCCTCTGCCAGCAGGGCGGGTGTGGGCTGCCCGTGCCGCCAGGGCCGGGGGGCGGCAGGGTGCCCCTGGGGGTTGGCAGCCACAGGGCCCCCAGACCCTGGCGGCCTCACCTGCCTGTTCCCTGCTTCCTCCCCACCCCAGGTTTCTACTTGATCTCCCCCTCGGAGTTTGAGCGCTTCTCTCTCTCCACCAAGTGGCTGGTTGAGCCCCGGTGTCTGGTGGGCGCAGAGCCCAGGAAGCACAACCGGCCACGCAATGGCTCAGGTCCCGGGAAGGCCCTGGGCCGAGCCAGGTGGGTAAAGGGCAGCTGGTCTCTGCTCCTGTTACTCCCCCTCCCAGCCTCTCTGGGGGCTCCCCAGAGGCGCCTGCCCTGCAAGCTACTGTTGTGGGCAGGGCTTGGGTTGCCTTCCGGTTCCCCTGCTCAGGCCAGGCCAGGCCAGCCAAGGAGCACGCCACGCAGCCAGGTGCTCCCAGCCACATTGGAGAGCCTGGTGAACCCCTGTCCTCATTCTCTTCCCCCCACAGGAACTCAGGGAGCCAGAGTGATGGAGAGGGTAAGATGTGTCCCTCTGGGCCAGCGGCATGTGGGGGCTGCGGCACACCAGGCCCAGTCTGGGGGAGAGGGGTGGGGACCCCCAAGAGCTCAGGTGGTGTGTGGGGATAGAAGCAGCAGCCCTTCCAGTTCTGGCCTCCAGCACCCATACCAACACCCTAAGAAGGGAACGGGAGCTGGGGAGGGCCCAGGGCACCCCTGACCTGGCCTCTGCCTTCCAGAGAGGAGGCCCGGGCCTGTGATGGAGCACGCCCTGCTCAATGATGAGAGTGAGTCAGGCAGGGGGCTGCGGCTGGCGTGAGGGGCAACCACGGGGGACTCGAAAGGCCAGGGTGGACCTGAGGGGGAAGGACTGGTGTCCAGCCGGGCCCCCGCCGGCCTCACTGGGTCTGTTCCCCATTCCTGCCGATAGGAGTCCTGAAGGAAATCCAGAGCACATTGGAGGGGGACCGCAGGTGAGTTACTGCCCGGGCCCCGAGACTCCAGGAGAGCTCTGGGAATGAGGGTTCCCATCTGTGGACAGAGTCCCGTGGTTGGTGACTGTCCTTCACACACAGGAGCTGTGGCGATTGGCGTTCTCAGAGAGTGACAGTGGGGTACAGCCTTACCAACGGGGGAGGTAGGTGCTCTGGGCACTGTTGGGGGTAGCTGGGTGGCTGTGCCCCTGGGAAGGGTAGGCCCCAGAGCCCTGACTGGCTCATCCCAGCCCTGACACAGGCCCCTGGTGACCTGGACCCCCCCCACATTTGGGCTCAGGACGGGTGACCAAGGCCTCCCTTCCTGGGCAGGAGGCCCTGAGCCACCCTCCGGTCACTGTTTCCACAGCAGAGTGAGCTCTCAAGCCCGCACCGCGCGGTGAACACACTACTGAGGCCGTCCCGTGGAGGGCCACGCTTGGCCTGGGCAGGGCCGGGCTCCCACCCAGCTGCTGCTCCTGGTCTCGGGGGAGCAGGCCCTACCGGGGTGGCCTCAGGGCCTCGTCTGTCTCGGTCCTTCGTCAGTGTTGCACAGTTCTGCTCCCCGTCCCCCTATTTTGTAGTGGGCTGGGTTTTAAATTATAAATTTTACCTGCCTCTGGGTGAAAGACTTTTTAATAAACACCTTGTTACCTCTTCACTGGGCTGTTCCCACAACTGGTGTTCTGAATGGTACTGTTGTCCACCTAACCGGAACGGCCTCGAGCCTGGGGCTCCCCTGGAGCAGGCGGGCACTCAGCGGTGCTCGAATCACACAGGCATGGCTGTGCCTTCTGGGTGGAATAAACAGCAAGCCGTCACTGTCCTGAGTCTGTCTTACGTATTCGGGCGGGTGTGGGGGGCACAGGAGTCCCCTTGCTGGCCCCAGCTTGCCTCCTGCCCGCCTCAGGAGGGGAAGACACCCAGCCAGGAAAACAGACCTGCTGGCTTCTTCCAGACTTCTGGAGTGGGCCGTGGGATGCCTCTGAGGTCCGGGCCAGCTTGGGAGAGTGCTACCCACTCCCCATCGACAGTCGTTTCTCCTTAGAAGGAGGTGCTTACTGAGGGGGGGTCCCAAGAACCAAGAGGGAGGGAGAGGAGCAGTCCCGCATAGGATGAGGGCTGCCAGCCCATAGCAGCCACAGCCGGAGGGGCGCACACCCACAAGACGAGCCTAGGCTTCCTCCTGCGGCAGGCAGCGGGGGCAGCTGCCGCGCCTGGGTGAGGCTGACTCTCCACAAACCCTGTGGTTTCACTCCCAGCCAGGTTACTCTCGGTGACCTCAGGCAAATTACTTGCCTATTTCTTCTGGGAAATGGGGTGATTAACTGTTCCCTTGGGAGCAGTTATGAGGTGCCTCACAGCATCTGTGAGGAAAACAGGTCACCCGGTCACAGAGTGAGTGACAGGAGGCAGAGAGCGCTGGGCTTGGGGGCAGGGTCTCCCATGGTAGCAGGTTTGCAGGAAGATCGCTGGAGGCCACACAGCCAGGCTTTGGGCTGGTTCCCAAACCCACTGCCGCAGGTGCTGGGGGCGGAACAGCAGGCGCCCAGGCAGGATCTCGGGGGGCTGCGCTGATCCCCGAGTCAGTTCCTGGCTGTGGGTCCTTAGGCCATTTAACCTCTCTGATTTGTCGCCCCATCTGTGAAATGGGACCACATCCCCTTCCTGGGGCTTGGAGGTTTCTGTGAAGTGACGCTTGGGTTGCAAGCCCCAGCTTGAATCAACAGGAGGAAGAGGAGGGCAGAGAAGGTGGGAGGTTGGAGGGGGCACAGGGCTCTGCCCCCTCCCCACCCCCCGAGCTGGCAGGACACCGTGACTGGGCTGCAGATCCGTGCGAGCTCCTTTCGCAGCTGCTAGCTCTCACCCCCTTTTCCAGCCTGGCCTTGGGAGCCAGGCAGCCGGGTGGGCATCGCCGCGTCGACACTCCTGAGCCGAGTGCCTCGGTCATGTCACCTGGAAATGGGGATCCTCACCACAAGCCTCAGCGTGCGCTCAAGGCTTACATGATCACAGAACAGAGCCTGGAACATGGCCCCTGGCGTGGGGGTTAGAGTCCCAGTTATCAAGCTGCCACCAGCCACTGCAGCCTGAGCTCGATCCCTAGCCAGGGAGTGACCCACAGGGCGCAGCAGACCTCTCCTGTCTCCCCGCTGCTCCCCTCAGAGTGTCCTTTGGTAGATCTGCCTGTCCTGCTTCCCACTCTGTCCTTGGGGAATCCTCTCCCTCTCCTCTGGCCTGTACCCCAGTTCTTGTATGCATGATAAATAGGTATTAATCTTTTTAAAAAAAGTGCTTAAAACAATTCCTGGCCACAATAAGCCCTGACGTTTATTATTATCACTATTGCTATCAGAGTTCTGTCCCTGTTCACTTTTGAATTAGGAAATGCAGGAGAGCGCACCCCTACGGGGAGGACCCAATGAAGCTCCATACGCCCAGCAAACAGCATCACCCACATCCGGGGCGCCCTGGTGACCCTGCTCACCACTGCCAGGGCCCAGTCCCACCCCAGGCACCACCCTACCGATCAGTTTCAGTTTGTCTCCAGCGCCGGGGGAGGGCTGGTGACGCTTCACACCTGACATCTTTGTTCAGGGTGCCGCTGGTGTGGTTACTCCTGTTGCTGGGGGGTGGCCATGACTGGCGTGAGGTGATCCACTGTGGGATCCAGAACCCACAGCTGTGCGCAGGCGCCGCGGGCCCGCCTGGTGTTGGCGTTGGAAACCCAGCTTCTAGGCTCTCACAGCGAAAGCTAGTGGCTGTGAGTGACATGCACAGGGCTTGTGGTCTTCGGGACAGCTGCCTCCCCCTCTGGAAGGCTGGGCTGCGCTGAGGCCACAGAGGCGAGTCACCTTCAGGCCCCGGGCATCGTGTGGCCCAGTGGTGAGTGCAGGAGCCCACGCAGGCCCCAGGCTGGCTCAGGTGTGCACAGTGGATGTAAGGCAGGTGTGGGTGGGCTGGGGAAGAGCCGCCGTCTCTGTGCTGGCTCCGGGGGATGGCGCTGGTGAGCAGAGGCCAGAGTGGGCAGTTAGCTGGGGCCCAGGCGTCCTGCGGGACAGGTGACAGGCTGACTGGAGAGCTCCCTCTTGGGGGTTCCTGAGCCTTCCCCCAGCAGCTGCCATGCACGGGGGTCCTTCAAGAGGGCTCAGGAACCCAAGCCTTCACAGTTGCTTTGGTTTGACTGCAGTGTGACCACCCATGTTAACAGACCAGCGGGCCTGTTTCTCTTGATGGTTATTAGGGAGGGTAAGTGACCCCATCTCACCCAGGATGGGGACTGCCTAGGCTTTGAAACTGCCCCCTAGCAGTGGGGTGGGAGCAGAGTGGGGGGCTCTCTGGCTTGGCAGGGTGTCAGTGTGGCCTGACGGAGTGGCAGGGTTGCCCTGTCCATGGCCTTTGTCCACAGTCACAGCATATCCGCTTTCCTGGGCAGTCTCGGTTCCATTGTTGGCTGAAGGGGTCAGCACCTGCTGCCGCCTGCATTATTGATGCTGAGCATAGTGTGAGCCCTGGGGTGTAGACTGAGCCTGCAGCCCCCGCCAGAGCAGAACTAGTATAATCTGTGGCTGGCAGCCAGCTGGGTCCCTGGGAAACACTGCCCGAAGCCCCTCTTCACTGGGCCTGCCATGGGTCGAAGCAAGGGCAAGGTGGCCCGGCGTCCAGTGGAATCCAGGAGGCCTGCGGCGAGGGAGCAGGAGTCGGGGTCAGGCAGCACAGAAGGCGTGCCCAGCAGAGAAAACCGACAGGGCTGTGCGGAAGCCCGCAGGGCAAGAGGGCTCTTGGAGTCTGTCACCTCGTGGGACCAGGGAACCCCTGATGGTAGCAGGAAGCCCAGCCCAGAGGTAAATGGCAGCAGGTCACGGGGGCCCAGGGAGAGTGTCCGGACTGGGGACAGCTCTGGGGGTCACCTGGAGGAGAACCTCCCCAGAGGACCAACAGGAGAGCACCACCACCGCAAGAGAGGAAAAGGGAGGGGACCCTCTGCCAGGCGCAAACGCAGCCGCAGCCGCAGCCACAAGCCAACCCGAGGAAGCCTGGATGGGGAGACCTCGGGTGCAGACGCTGGAAGCTCCTGCCCGGATAGTGAGGCCCCTGAGGTCCAGGGGAGCCGCAACAAGAGGGGCGGGTCCCCGGAGCCGCCACCCAAATGGGAGCAAACAGACACGGGCTCAGGAGGTAGCCAAGCCCACCAGGAGTCGGTGCAGGAGCCTGGGGAGCACCTGAGCAGCAGCGGCCCCGAAGGTCCCCGCAGCTACGAGGTCCAGAGCTGGGAAGGGTCACTGGGGGCGGCGCCTCAGGAAGCGACTGAGGACCCCGGGACAGGCGCAGTCGCCAGTACAGCGGGGGCTGTGCGTGAACGGGGACCCCAGTCCACCCCAGGAACAGCGAGCCCAGTCACCGAGGCCAGCGGGGTCGAGCCAAGCAGAAAGGCCTCCAGCCCACTCGAGGGGAGCCGTAAGCGCGCCCCCCGGAGCTCGCGGGCTTCCAGGGACGCTGAGCTGGTTCGGGGCGCGAGTGGCAGTGGGGCGCGGCCGGAGGCTGGGGCGCGGGGCGTCGAACCTGTGAAAGTTCAGGCCTCGACCTCTGGGGATCGGCGCCCCCAGTTTGGAAAGGTG